TCTCTGTGCCAGCTACTTTTAGTAGTTTTGGCAACCCATGGCTCTCCCTCATTGTTCCACAAACCAGTGTTTTGTTCTTCAATAATAGTTCGGCTGTAGACATGCTATTTTAGTAATTATCTTGGTAAATTTGATGCCAAGAACCAAGAAAAGGCCATAAGACAGATAATATAACCTGTTGTATTTTTTGCCTTCACCCATATATATCTTGAAGTTGCAAATATAGCCACTCTCACTTTCACAAAGCATCCTTACTAAAATTCCACATTTTATAATTTTTGCCGGACAATATGTCTTGAATCTGATGCGTCCTCTCCATGGAATCGTTGCTTCAGTGAGTGATAACTGCTGTTTGGGTACATATAAAGATTTACATTTCGAAATAAAGTGATCCGTGAAGGCGGTCTATGTTACATGTTGTTTGTGAATTATTCAGACGAAAGAATGTAAGTATTTACTCAAAACTCTGTCTATAAACATAGTTTTTGGAACTATGGGTGATTCAAGTAAAGGATCGGTTGAACAGTAATCTTTTCATTCTGGCTTCTTTGTTTGTCCCATCAATATAATTAAACCAAGAAACTTCTTTATATTCATATAAGTAACGTCCATCTATGGTGAAGTTTTAGCAGATATTTTTGTGGTATTTTCCCATGTGCTAATGTATAAATTGATTTGAGAAGTAATGAGATTGAAAAAATTCTTATCAAAAATAAATTGGTTACTTCACTTATACTTTATGGGTCTTCAGATTGAACAGTTATGCCTGAAATATTTGTATAATGCTCCAGGTAAAATGTCTTTTTCTGCCCATTCTTCTTCAGAATCACTTTCACTGTTGGATACTATCATGTTTCTTTTGCCTTCATGATGGTCTAATGTTAAACTCATTACTATCTTCTGACAAGGTACTATCTTCCAGCTGACTACCAAAGTCACTCGGCCAGTCAGACGCGGGGTCTGCACATCATTCGCTCTAACATTCTTCTCTGCCATGACAAGTCTTTTTTAAACCTTTTGCCATAATAAAAGATGGATGGAAAGAATTTGATGTATTTCTCATCATAACTGGTGAGTTAAGGAAAAGACACGCATAGCAAGGAGGAAAACTAGGGATGGCTGAAATAAGTGCCGAGCAGTGAATTGGCTTGTATCTCACACCTCTTATAATCTGAGCCTAAACAAACATAACTAAGAAAATAGTCCAGAGTGCTCTTTTAAAATTCTACATTGCTTTCAGACCTTAAAATTACTTCATGTGAGTGGAAACACAAGTATACTCGTAACCGGTAAAAAAAGGTGGTGTTAAAACCCTTAATTCCATATTTAGACTAGCTCTTCTGACCCCTAAGAAGAGGACGGAGAGGTGGGTGCCTTTGTCAATGCTAGAGTTTCTTCGGTCCAGGCAGCCACTGCATATGGCAGCTTAATTTGTTTGTGACCATTGTGGGCATCTGTACTCTGAAGAGCAAGCCATTTATAAAACAAGCTGTTTAGAATGCCGGTACAACAAATACTGGACAACTGTCTGCTGAAGCATTCCCTGGACATTTAACTGTCCGTGATACAGTGCTAAACGATTGTGAGGATCAAGGTAGGTGACAGTCACCATACCCTCACCTCAACTTCCCTGGGCTGGGCTTCCCCTTCAAAGGTGGAAGTTCTAGACTTGCCTGTTTTCTCCGAGGTCATATGTGGAATGGAAAGCGGCACTACCATAGTCAGCCTCTGCACCTCCATGATGGTGGCTTCTGTGTAGGGCATCTGGGCCTTGTCAGTGAGGGAAGGGACTCGGTCAGCACCAATGACCCTTTCAATTTCTTCATGGACCTTTTCTATACAAAAAGAGAATAAACCAGAAGACCAGTCACTAGTAAGCTGAGACTTCCCTCCTATGCCACTTACCATCACCTTGTACACACAACCGGCAATGTGGCAGTACAGGCCTGACTCCGCCTGAGTGAAGTGAAGCACTGATCAGATATTCCAAGTGGAGCCAGCTAGCCCCTGTACACTCTGTGACTCTGAAGGATATCAGAACAGATAGAGGGGCGAAGGAGCAAGCACTCCGTATTCAGGAGTACTCTGAATCATTCTCTCATGTGAACACTGGACTATCTAAGCTTTTACTGGTATATGTGACACTATATGGTAGCCCATCAAAGCTCCTAGTGATCTCCGTGCCTCTTGGTTTACACATTCACTTTTTTAACATTGATTTTTAGAGCGAGAAACAGATGTGAGAGCGAAACATCTATTGGCTGCCTCTGGCACATCCCCTACTCAGGATGAAGCCCGCAACCTGGGCTTGTACCCTGACCTGGAATCAAACCAGCAGCCTTTTGGTGCATGGGACAATGCCCAACTAACTGAGCCACACCAGCCAAAGCTTGGTTTACACATTCTTACGCAGTCCCCTCCCACTTTGTACTAAGTTGGTCTAAGTGACCAACAGGGTAAAGGAGGAGTTGACATGTCAGTTCTGAACTTAGGTTATAAAAGACACTGTGGCTCCTGTCTTGGCCATTTACTCTCTCTAGGGTTAAGTCAAGCAGCCCTATAGGAAGGTCCAAGTGGTAAGACCTGCAACCAATAATCAAGTGAATGAGCCATCTTGGAAGTGGGTCCTTCAGTCCCAGTCAAGTTTATAGATGACTGCAACCCCAGCCAGATTTGACTACATCATGAGAAATCTTAAGCCAGACCATCCAGGCTAAGCCACTCCTGGATTCCTGATCCTCAGAAACTTTGTGAGATATTATTTTAAGATGCTAAATTTTGGGATAATGTATTACTCAGCAGTAGATTAACTAATACACGTAGGCACAATCCTGTCTGTAGTAGGCAGAAAAAAAACACAAAAAATCCTCAAAGATGTCCATAGCCAATCCCCTGAAACCTGTGAACATTCTGCCTCGCCTGGCAAAAGAGACTGCAGATGTGATTAAACTAAGGACCCTGCAGTGGGGAGATTGTCCTGGATTTTCTGGGAATGCCCAATCTAATTACATGGGTTTTTTAACTGGAGAACTTTTCCCAGTTGAATTTGGAGTCAGAAGGAAATGGGACTACAGATGAGTGGTCAGAGAGATGCAATATTTCTGGCTTTGAAGATGGAGAAAGAGGGCCATGAGCCAAGGAACCTAGAAGTGGATTCTCCACTAGAACCTCTAAGAAGGAATGCAGCCCTGTCAGTCTCTCGATTTTAGCCCAGTGAGACATGTGTCAGACTTCTAATGTGCAGAACTAGAAGATAACAAACTTGTGTTGTTTTAAGTTGCTAAGTATATAGTTATTTGTTAAAGGAACAACAGAAAACTAATACACTCTCTTCCCCTGTGTTCTTCCACCATGAACTGCCACTGGCATTCACTGCCTGTTGCTATTGATGTAGTGGAACTAGCTGTGTGAGCCTGTGAAAGTCATAACTTCTCTGGGCCTCTGTTCTCCATTTTAAAAACAAGATGAATGGGTTTGGATGATCATTATGATTCCCATCAGCTCTAAATTGTTATTCCTCTCTGAAGTTCTATCTTCATCACAGTTTCCACACAGAATCAGACCTGTAGAGATTTAAAGCAGGGGCAAGCAAGCATGACACGGTCTAGAAACGTGGAGTTGCACCTCTAATACCTCTTCATCGCTTAGTGCTAGGAGCCACAGGATCACCAAAGTTGCTGATCCGAATTTACATAACCTAATTTTTCCATGAATAAAGGAAACACCTATTAATTACCTTGTATGTCAGGGTTCAGTGACATATACAGAAGGCACCAAAGCAAAGAGTTACTCGTGGTATCAGTCCCCGCAACGAAGAGATCACCGATGATATAAAGTAAGTAATCTTCATCAAAACTACTATTGCTATTATTTTTCTTCTCTTCATCCACGTGGAGAAGGTACATGTCTATGTAGTCCCGAGGGTTCTCAACGTCCAGAGACTCTCGATGTTCTTTGATGATTCTTTTAAGGAAATTGAGAATATCATTTTCAATTACTCTGAATTCCTTAAATGGTCCAAAGGGAAGGTAATAAAGCCAGGAACATACGTTGACCAGTTGGAGCTGGCTGTTCAGACAGACTTCTAATCCTCGTGATATAAAATTAAGCATTTTCCTAAACTCACTATTGGTGTAATCAAAGCGTCGGCCAAAGCACATGAGGCAAATGATATTGGAGATGGCGTTGTGGACAATGGGGAAAGGATCGAAGGGGTCTCCTCCATGTTTTTGCATTTCCTTCTTCACATATTTGAACTCCTCAATAATCTTGGGCTCCAAGCTAAGCTTTCCTAAGCCAAAATGACGAAGAGTTGAATGCGAGAACTTCCTCTGTTGTCTCCAGACTGGACCGTAACGTGCAAATACAACCCCTGCAAAAGGACACAGGAGAAAAGACACTGAGAGATAGCAATACTTGATAATACTCACCAGGACATACCAGGAATGTATTCTGTATTTCTCAAGTCACTTGTGCAAAGTTCATATACATACAAAGATTACCAGCCAAGACAAAGGATTAGCGAAATGTAGTTATCAAGATAGTATATGTTTCTAATAACAAAAACCATATGCAATTTGATTAGGAAAAAAATTGCTATACAGCTTATCATTATAGATTCTAACTCCAGGTAAAGTGAAAAGCAGTGAATTTCAATTTCTAGAGTTAGTGTAAATTTTAAAATCTTATTTTCATAAGAGTGAATCCAGGCTTTGAAAATATTTTATGCTGGATACACCCTTTTCTAAACATTCTGAACAGAAGGATTAGCATGGTAATAGACTGCAGATGAGGGCAGGGATGATATCTGATTGTGCTCACCATTAAAATCCCAACTTTGGGTATAGTGCTGGGTATAAAGTAGGAGCTCGTTAAATATGAGCTGAATAAATCAATAGCACAACTGTATTAGAACACTGGCCATCATAGTTTAAAATCAAGTAACTGGCAGGTAATCTAACATATCTGTTGTTGGCAACTGCCCTAATTTAAAAACATCTGAATTCAAGGTCATCCACAACTATATTTTACTTGACTTCACTTATGTTACACATCTTCCACCACCAGAGCCAACAGAATTGCTCTCAGATATTCCTTGTTTCTTGTCATTTTTTTCATCCTCCTACCTTCCATGGTGTGTTTTGTTTCAGCCAGTTCTCTTCCTTTCCCACTTTTTTTTT